GTTTTGATCTGCGGACGGCGAATATGGGTGGCTCATTGTCCGCAGGCCCGTGCTTACGATGGCCGGAAATCGTCTCGCGATGACTATAATATGAGCTAATGAAGTATCTGATTTAGATCGTATTACGATTTTTACCTGTGCTGTGAGTGTGATTAAAAACTATTAACTACAGGAGTCGAACCAATACGACATCTAAATTATCAGCCGGTCGCTAATCACCATTACTATTTAAAATATCTCTACAATAACAAAACCAACAAAGCATTTCAAAAACAACTGCAGACTGTTAGAAAGCAAATAACTATAAAAAACATTTGCAAACACATAAAAACATTGACTCATTTATATACAAAATTAAATAGCTGTAGGGATATAGGTTCTAAACGAAGAAAGCCTAACAAAATTGTTTGCATATTCATGAGAGGAGAAACGACGGCTCTCATTAAAGAAATTCATTCCGTAAGATATTATTCAGTTTAAGGCGATTTATTCTGTGTCTAATAATTATTATATGTTCTTTCATTAAACTGATATTCAACCTAGACAATACGTCTAAAATTATTAATGCGAAAATTTGTGTGGATTTATGTATGAATATAGGAATGTTTGTTATTCTTTCGCAAATAACTTATTGGGTGAATTATTTGAATGAAATTTGGTACAGAGATTGATTATAGTGTCTGGAAATTATTTCAGATTATAATTTATCCTATTTTACATGAAAAAAAGCTGGAACTATAGAAGTAACGTAGCACATTATTTTTATTCTGAAGACAGATGTGCACATATAATGGCACGCCGGTGACATCATCAGTAGTCTGCTGAAATATTATAAGACTCCTCTACATTAGTGGATTTGTCATAATGTTTACGCTTTTCTTTTAAGGGGGAAAATCATCGAATGACTTCCCCGGCCCGGTAGAGGCAGGAGGGAGTGTCAGACTCTTACTGACTAAAATCCACCCCGTTCCTACTAATGAGTAGGTTTCGAAACCGCGCCCTTATGCTTGAGAAGCTTAAGACTCCAGGCCACCACGACTATACCATATATCCCTATAATAATTACTGCAAGTAAGAATTTCATCCCGTCTCATAACAAATTATAAAAGCCATAATAAGTTTAATGCCACACACACATATACACAATCCTAAAATAATTTATCACAAAGTAGATAATGGCTCATTCATTATGTTCCAGATTAAAGGGGCAACTTTGAGAGGCCTAAGTTTTTAAGTTTTGACACCAAACTCCTTCGTGATGAATAAACAAAACTCCTTACTTTAGATTTCTTTAGGACATTAAGGTCGTGGCGAGGCCTAGAAATTTCTATTTCAAAGTTTACGTCTTTTATAGAAGTTTTACAAGACTATCGTGTTTTTTGGATATGAGTCTTTTGCTAATAGTGTTAGATGAATTAACTCATATATTTTTATTTTAGATTTAACCTTCAGTTTGTACACACCGCCATGCTTCGGCACGAATGGGCCGGCTCGATCGGAGTGATACCACGGCCTCACAGAAGACCGACGTGAAACAACGTTGTGTTGTGTTTTGTCGTGTGAGTGAGTTTACCGGAGGCCCAAGTACCCCCCCGGGGGCCTTTTCCCAATCCCTGAATCCCCAACAATCCTCAAATGCCTAATCCAGAAGGCCGGTAACGCACTTGTAACGCCTTTAGTATTCCAACTGTCCATAGGCGACGCCGATTGCTTACCATCGGGTGATCCGTCTGCTCGTTTATAGGCTTATCCCATAAAAAAATTGCATAGGTGTTACAATATTTATTTCTTTATCCACTCTGGGTGACTATGGTCACACAAAACTTGTTGAGGGTCATATTAATTAAACTTCGAAAAGCGACTAAGTATGCAGTTTCAATTGATAATGATAATGATTGTCCAACTGTTTGCAGTATATATTTTTTTAAAGACCACTATTCAAACAAAAATTTTAATAGAAAATTGCAATAGAAAATAATCCAATCAACCACAAAAAATAATTCAATGCTAAATAAATATCTCGGTTCTAATTTTCTTTTCCTAATCACAAAGTCTTTACAATTAACAGAAGTCCCTTAGGCAAATCTCGACAGACCTCATTCACTTAAAATGGTACCTAGGGACATTAAAATATTATCAGTAAAAAAATCTCTTTGTAAAATCTGAACTAGGTCACCAGTAGGGAACTTCATAGCACTGAGATAAGATTACTCTGTGACCTATAATCATTGTGGAGAAGCATGAACTTCTTACTACAAGTTTAAGTGACTTTGTTATTTTCTTGTACTTCTTGTTCTAATATTTGAAGTTTGCTCGTGGTGATGGACTAGTATATGAACCGTTTGCAATTATTTTCTCTGTAGAGTACGTGGCAGTATTTGGTGATTTCATTAGAAATATTTGAGGCTCCCTAGTGGATCGACTTCTACACATCACTATCCAGACATAACATAGGTCTTTGAAGGTGCAAGGCGTATTCATAGAACATTCACTTTTCCTTGTTCATGATTATGATAAGAACGCAGTAGCCAGAACTTCATTTAAGTGTGGGAGAACCATGCTTCGGTACCAATGTACCGGCTCACTGACCTCACAGAAAAGCGACGTAAAACAACGCTTGCGTTGTGTTTCGTCGTATGAGTGAGGTTAACGGAGGCCCAATAACGCTCCCCTATCCTCAATGTCCATTATCCCTGAATCCCTAACAACCCTCAAAGTCGTAATCTCCAAAGAGCCGGTACTCACTTGTATCGCTCTGGTGTTTCAGGTGTCCAAGGGCGACACCGATTGCTTACCATCCAATGATACGTTTGCTCGTTTATCGGCTTATCCTTAAAAAAAATTGCTCAAATTCAAACACAATATTCCAAATTCCATAACAATAATGGGTTCCCAAATCAATGTACCGATACCAATTCATTAACGAACTTCAACCAAGCGTCAGTTATATTCAGTCTGCATAAACCACTGTTCATTTCTTCCATCTTCCTAAATCCCTGTCCTTACCAAAATCCTAATTGTATTCAAAGAAATATTATCCAAAGCCTGCACCAGAAATTTAATATGGACCTTATGGACAGTGTAACAGACCGTATTATTCCACTTCCAGAAATCTATGATACTGATATTCTAGTATAGTGTGCATTCATGTTTTGCTTTCGACGTTCCACTCGCCAATTTGCGTCTTGCCAGACTAGAACCATTGTCCTACTGCCGTTGCATAGAAGTGTCTAGTGGTGGTGAGGTGTCGATGAAATAATTCGGAAATGTTATGACATAATTATATGGATGCATTATTTTTTTAATTGGACTGGCATCACATTTATAAATGGATTAGCAAGCAAGTAACTAGTGATTAAAATAAATAATAATAAAATGTTTGACCCTTTTTAGAACAACTGACATTGCTATCATTAATAGCCCTTGATAATCCATTTCTGGACCATAAAACTTTGCAACAGGAGAAGGATTCAGAGTTTTCGAGTTCAGAGATTCGCAGTTCATAAAATTTAGGTCTCTAAGAAAGCACTGCTGCCCTCCGGTCTCTGTCAAATATATCACTAAAGTCTTTTAGTAAAAGTAGTGGCAATTGTATTCTACTGAACTCTAACATAGGCATGTTAATGTCCCGTCAAAACATCCATTACCAAAACAAACTTGATTCCTCGTTCGCCTTAATTTTTTCCCACTTTTATCGATATCATTTCCAACCACTACTTAAGTTACATCTCGCGTGCCATAGGCGACACTTAATGGCCCGCCACTTCGCTCATTTTCTACACCACGTTATTTTATCGTGTCAAGAACGTCGCATTCTTACTATTTCATTGTTCAAAATGTTGAATTTATACCGGTCTTTTGATGTTCTTCCTGTATTCGTATGTTGAATTATGTTTTTACTTATTACCTGCTGTAAGGTGCAAATGATTTGTAGTTGCAATGGTGTGAGGAAAGACGTTTGTAGTGTCTTCAACGCTTTAGTCTTAGTCGTCATCAGGTCAACTAGGTTCTGTATGTAGGTACATTAGAAAATGATCTTAATGCAGGGTAATATTAGAGACTTTTATTGATTGCCAGTGTGGTAGAATTTGCAAGAGGATAGAGGATATCCATGGTCTTTGTTGTCATGTTTGATGTGTCACAAATGATAGAAATGATACGATAATTACTTCACAGACAAAATCACATGAGATCTTTTAACTTAAACAGGATTCAAAGACCAATAAGAACTTCTGCAAGCCTGAATAGAAACTCTAATAAAACCATACACCAAATAAAAACACGAACGAACCGAGCTCCAATTTGTAACTCTATATGACCTTAGCAAATAGAGCCACAGTACTTTACCGAAGTTCGCGGTCCCATAGTACCTCGAACAAATTGTAACTGGGAAACGTTTATACAAGAAGTTTGCTAACATGGTGCAGTTTTAGCACACTATTGTTTGCTAAAATTACATCGTCATAACTGTTCGTTGGTTATTGCTTATTTGATATTGTAATAACATACGTTTCGTATAGAAATCGGGTAGTTTGGTCTGAGTTTCTGAATGTAGGGATTGGTTTGGTTTATAGGAGATTGTTTGTTCTATTTCGTATTCTGTGTTAGTGTGTTAGTTATCTAATTTGGTAGATAAATTATTTTATAGCTGTTTGTCTTTTTTTACAGCTGTTGTTTCTGGAATCTAACGATATCGACTATCTTTGTAAACAAGCCATCGCTTAGGAGCTGTTAATCTTGTGATTTTTCCATGATTTCAAACTGTGTATATACCGTGAAATCTATTTTGTTTTCGTCTCGAAGTTAAATAGTTCTCTCTTGGTATTATCAAGAGAGAACGATTTGATTAAACTATTTTATTAAAAATAGTTTTAAAAATAAATAAAATGTTTAAAAACAAAAATAACTGGTGAACCATCGCAAAAAGCAAACATCGAGCTCATACGAACTCATTGTATGTACATTATCAAAACATCATACCATTATATAATATCTTTAAGCGACTTTGTTAGATAGATGCCGCGCCCTTGGCTCCCACATTCTGGTTTTATAATAAATGTTTTATTTTTACGTGACTTGCTGTAGTTTAGTGCTTCACCAAAATCAGGTAAACACCAAGTTTTTTGAAAAAAATTGTATTCTTTGGGATAAATTTTCTGCATTCTATTTAAATTCCGTGCTAGTAAGTCTTTCCTGCAGATTTCTAACATTCCAGGAAAATGATTAATGCGTTGAAACCTTTTCATTTCTTTTGCTCTTTCCACAGAAACGCTCATGTCTGTCCAGTAAAAATTCTAAGCATCTTCCTCAGATACTTCTCGCATCCCAAAAGCACTAGCAACCTTTCTTATTGACTCATATCGGCAATTTGTTAGACATATTGATATTTGCGATCTCCTCCTCTTCTTTTTCTTGCGTGTAGCTTCCAAAGGTATAATGGGGGCTGTTCTTGATGTCGGTTGTGATGTATCATCTTCTCCGTATAACTTATTGTCGTAGTTACGAATCAGCATTGAAGCTATGTTTTCAGCCTGTTCCTTTTCCTCCTTAGCTTGCTGCTCAGTTGCCACTTTCTCTTCCTGCACTTTTTCATTTTTCCTTTTGTTTGGCACTGAATATTTTATATACATATTATTACACGGTATTATTATTATTATTTTAAAGTCATTAAATTGTACACTAGACGACCCATATCTGACTCCTATTACAGCTCCATCCAAAGGTTGTCTGGAAGAGATCGCCTTGTGCGATAAGACCGCCCATTGTGCACTATATCAATTGTTTGTTGTCCTTTATGTTTATGTGGTGTACAATAAAGAATATTATTATTATTATTAT